AAGACTTTTTGACTTATTCAATCCACAAATGTTTTCCTACGAGATCTGGCAGAATTTTGTTGGTTGAAAGGAAAAGGATTTTGTTCTCCATGTCTATCCTGCGGTATCCAGCAATATTTTCTCACCAATATCTGTCAGGATGACCGTGGAGGAAGTTGTCTGTATTTTATTTTTTTTCGAAAGTTAAGTACTTTTTTCTTATAAAGTTATAAAAAAATTTCTCATGTTCAATAAACTTCTAGAAAACGTATACCTTAATATTTTGATTTTAACACGCATTTTCATGTGTACAAAACCAAACTATTAATAGATAGCTAAAAAGATCTTTTTTATGTCAGGAATATTCTATTTTTTTCCATCAATAAGACATTAAAATCATTAGAATGATCACGCTACTGTGAAAAAAAGATGTATAGCAAAGCAGAGATATCACACTATTCTAAATTTCTTCAGCTTTGAATGGTATCTTCTCGTTTCGTCTCGTTTATTTTCTAGCATTCTATTNTGTACTAATTAATATTAATATAAGTCATTAAGATAACGTAAGAAACTGATACATGGCTGATATATTCATACGTTGATACGTATCAATATGGACTAGTTCGTTTTTCTACACCTGGATCAATAGCTATTTAATTTTAACGAAGTCATTTTGTATACTCCATGATAGAATTTAACTATTTAAGGGAAAAGATTTTGCAAAGAAACAATACTCATGAATGAAACAATGGCAAGGATCTGACGAAATGAGAGGCTGAAAGTTTACAACAATTGTGATAGAAAATTGAAGGAGTATTTTTTTTCGATCGTGTAAAATACTAGTGTAGTTCGCTAGCTAGCGAACTACACTACGTAGAAAAGTCTGAAAACGGGAGGACAATCTCTCGACATTGGAGATTGATCAATGCGTGTTTTTTTTTCAAAATTATGTCCAGATTCGGCGCCATAAGCTACGCAAGTAGAACTAAAATGTTTTTTGGACTTCCGGCCCCATTTGTTCTTGAGATGAAATGTCGAATAAATATATCTGTATTGATTTGATTTACTCAATATATATAAACATATATATATATATACTGAGTAAATCAAAGAAAAAATGCAATGCTCACAGCCTACTGATAGGATCTGCTCGGAGCGGTAGTCAGAGACAGCGTCTCTCCACATCGCAACTTGTGCGCAACGCAATTGTATTCTAGTTTTATTTTCTTTTTTCGTCCGTTTTTTGGCAGAATGTGCACGTCGTGATCTAGAGAACTATCCGAGATAGAAAAGTTCTGGAAGAGGAAGGCTATTCTCCCGACATTGGAGATCGACAAATGCACGCTTTTCTCTCAAATAAAGGGCCGGATTCGATGCCATAAGGTGAAAGAAAAGCGTATTTTAGACTTCGACATTTTTCGTATATTCGGTTGTTCGGCGGTGTTTTTTTTGTGAGATGCGTAATGTAACAAAAAATCTAGCGTTTTGTTAATAAGAGGATTTTAATACAAATTATGTTTTAGATCAGAAGCTTGTTAGTCTAGCACCAGTAGAACGGAGTAAACTGTTTACAGATTCTCGGTAGATACAATCTCACATGTACACGTCTCAATTAATCTCCTTTAATCGAACACCTACTTTCAATGTGAGGAAGCGGAAGATGTTACCGACTACAATAACACATGGCGCCTGATTTTGTCAGTAATTAATTGATATACAAAAATTCTTCGACGTCAATATATTAATATATTAACCGAATATATTAACCTTTATATTTTAGCGATAAACTCTTCTGTCTAAAGCAGAGCCCTGCAGGTTGATCCTAACCTAACCTAACCTTTTAGGTTAGGTTAGGATTAGGTTGCAAAAGTTATAGGCTAGGTTAAGTTATAGGTTGTTCTATTTTTTTTTCAATGGTTAGGTTAGGATTAGGTTGCAAATGCTATAATTTAGGTTATGATTAGATTGTGAAATTTTTTATAGGTTAGGTTATAGATTGCCAAATATTGGCAACCTGCAGGGCTCTGGTCTAAAGGTAGTCTCTAAAAGACTTTATCACATAAATAAGCCGGTCTTCATATTAACAATGAACGACCTTAAACGAAAACTGTCTAACGAATCTAACAACAAAAAAGAATCAACTGTAGCAGGTCATGGATATATACACGCTCTGTCAGATAAACTGCTGACGAAAAATTCGAAGTTTTATTATACAATGCGTGTACAATCAAATCGTAATAATTTAAATATGTTAAGAGCAATAATTTTCGAGAGAAGCGATAGTCCAGATCATTTAGTTGTCACCATCCAAAAAGCATTTAATAACAAAGAATTTCTCGAAATTAAAAACATCATAAAAGAAACGTATAATAGTAAGTGAAAAAATCTTAATGGTAATCGTGTAATATACGTGTAGTTTTACAGCCCGAGAGTAATTATGTTTGGTTTTGAAACACAAATTCGTACACTTAGTGCAGCGTTTGGATATGCAGATTTACAGAAATGTATCACATACAAAGAGGCATTATTGAAGGATGCAGGTAGGTATGTAACGAGACCGCAAGCGAGACCGGGGTTCTCGTATACTCGCTCTCGTACCCGGGTATAGTCTCGTAGTCTCGTGTCGTTTTACTATCCATCCACCTTTTTGCTCTTTCATTGTAACTTGATATGAAAATAAAAGAAGAAGAAGAAAAAAATCGACCGTCTTGACCCAAATAGTTCGGTGTCCGGATATCGAAAGATATTCGACACACCCCACCATTTGAAGTCGAGCGATTCTCTCTTTCTTTCATTCATTCTATTAGCTTTTCACTATGAAGGCCCTATGCATTTTTTGTTTTGCTGACAAACAAAGTTTCTTTATCTTTTAAGTTGGAAAAACTTCAATGTTTGTTGAAATTGACTGAGCAGTGTAAAATCGTGTTTTCATTTCGTAAGGGACCGATTGTTTTTTCCGAAAAAATGAGACTCCGTACGCAACTAATTTTTCAAAGTCAAACAGCAACTGAAAAAGCATCAAGTTTCGTTTGGTTGCTTAAAGAAAAGTGAACAGAAAAGTACCTATGTGTTCTAGCAAGAAGTATGTTTATTAGTCACAAATGGAAAGCATTGAATTAAAATAAATGATTATAAAATAGTATCAGGTTTTAGTCTATTATACGACTACTAACGAGGCACGAGACTACGAGACTATACCCGGGTACGAGACACGAGAAAACGGGTATCTCGGTCTCGTAACATACCTGATGCAGGTGTAACATACCTTGATGCAGGTATGACAATATGTAGAAAATCACCTAACCAAAAAATAAAATACAAATCCTGATATGAAAGTTGAAAGTATTAATTAGTAAGACTTAGCGAAATGGAGCAATGATGTTATGTAGATTGAGACATGAATACATACATAAAACCTACTAAGTAAGTCACAATAAATATTGTATAAATTCATAAGAGATATTATTAATACTAAAGCTAGAATCATAGATGTTCTGAATAGCGAAAAGAATGAAATTGTTGACAAGACCAACACGAATAAACGAATTGTTAGATTATTAGCACCTGTAATTATTGGTGACAACAATCAACATCAACTTACTTTGAATCTTTGGAATGATAGTCATAAAAATTTGAGACAAGGCATTCCATACGAAATGACAAAGTTAGAAGTTATTACGACGATGTTAGTGCTACAGTGACAAAAGACACAAATATCACACGTCTCAGCGATGCAGATGAGATACCAATTTCAATCGAAGATAAAAATAATGGTACTTCGTCTTCAATAATGTCGACTCAGTTTTTGATCCTGATTCCGAATATGATATTTTTATCGCTCAAAAGTTCAGTTCTGATCGAGAAAATTGAGAATTATGGGCAGAATTCCGACATTTCCACCTCTGATTTAGAAAAAATGAATTTTCTCAGCGAAGAAAAATTTTCTTTTTAAATAGCGATATATGCTTCTGACGGATCTGGCCATGTGTAAATAGCGGTTCCAGACCCTATACAGAAATCTATGTTAGGTTTGCAAAACTTAGAACCGTTTTTGAGAGGACGTTTGGGCAGTCTTGGTGACTAGACGTCCGGTTCTGAAACCGTTTGAAGACTGTTTTCTTGTTCAGTTTTGAATACTGAATCAGAAAAATATAAATTCCGAAGCATAAAATTGGAGAAAGTCGAAAAAATCGATGATTTTCTGTAGCGAAGAGGGCCTTTCAGTATTTCGCGATTTTCTCCGCTAAGAAAGGGTTTTTCGAATCCGGGAAGGTGTTATTCGTGACCAGTTTGAGACGGAAATCCGAATATGTACAATAAAGTCAAAAGGAACTTCACCTGAAGTTTGGATTCGGTGCACCTTACAAATGGTATATTTTCCCCAATTACAATCAGTTGGTGGAGGTTTACTAATCGATTCCGTATATGCACCATCTTCAGCAAGAGAAAAATGATGTGGCAATCTATTAATTACACATACAACGGCTTTTTTTGCGGTGAACGATGGAATGTAGATTGTGGAATAGATTTGAGCATGTTTGTCTAATAATTTTAGTTTAAAGATGTGAAACTCAATGAGAAAGGAATATTTGTCAGGCATCATTTTTTGATAATAGATTTTTCTGCTTCAATGTTAAATTCGGTTTTGCATACATTTAATAATAAACATACTCTGAGATATTTAAATCGATGTTGGTACATTTTAAATAAAAAATGTAGTTTGAAAGAATTGAGGGCAGTCGCTTTTATTCGTATCTGTTGCACGCATATCATGCATGCTTTTTCTACAAGTCTTGCTAATGCACGTGTAGTTTTGGAGGCACCGGAACCGAAATTCCTTGTTCAAAACGATTACAGTAACTACATACGTCTTTCTTTGTTATCCTAACCCATTTGGAACAAACAAGCGTTGATTTTTCACTAAATATAACTAGTAATGGAGAAAGCTGTTTCGTGTGGTATACTACTAGGTGAAATTGCTGTATAACGTTTTGCAATGATATTTATTTTACACAAGATCAATGCCGTTCATATGAAATAACGTTAACGTTCATCAGAACATTTGCGTTCACGTTAAGGAACGTCAACGTGCCTTAGCGTCGCGTTTAAAGAGAACGCTAAAAAGGAACGCTGAACTTTTGCAGGCCTAGCTGGGAGAGTCTTATTTTAATCAGAAAGTTGTGGGCTACCACCATGTCTCATTAAAAAAGGTTTTTATTTTTCAGGGTTCTTGAAAAACTGGTTTTCCGGAAAACCGGGCCTTCAGGAGTCATGGGCCCGAATCCTTTAGGATATTTACTACCTTACTGAGGTCTATCGCTCCATGTACCAATCATTGGAATCGGAAGGGAACATCCTGAAAGGTTCCCTCGTTAGCTAAATACCCGCATGGAATATAATGAAAAATGTAAACTTCATATCATTTTCGTCTATGTTATCATTGTCAGAGTCTTCCATTGTTTGTCGTTTTTGATTATCATCATTTATATCAGAGCTTTGGCTTATGTTCAAATAATTGATGTTAGTATTGGTAGTTAATAATTTGAATTTTTAAAGAACAGGGGTACGTGATCCAAAATCTCATATTTTTTGCCCATGTTTAATAGATTTGCATCTTCAAGAAAATCACTTCCGCACGAATCATTCAGTGTGCCTAGCAAGCAAGAATTACTACTAGTAATAGTCGGGGTGGGATTAGTAACCGAATCCTGTGGTGGAGGTTCAGATGCAACACTGGTATTGTTAATGTAATTATTATTCAAAAAAAATACTTTCCTTACAGTAGCAAGGAGTTTACCTATTCCTTATCTATTGCTTAAGTGAAGATCATCGCAGACTTTAGCATTCTTATACTAGTCTTCTCGTCTCTGCTTTTTGTTAATAAAAATTTCAAAAATCAACTGGAGTATACATCAACAAACACACACACGACGACAACATATCATCAGTCAATATCGCCATCCAACCGATTGATTAACATCTCATTTTCTTCAGAAATGTTTGCTCTACGTGATGGAGCTAATTGCAAACAGTTTCTAGATTAAACACGAGGACTTGGTTTTATGGGATCTTGGTTTGCCAGAGATCCTAGTTTCAGGCGTTAGAGATTAGAGATCTCTATCTGTGGAAGAAACTATAACCATTTTTGTCTGTCAGTACGGGTAAAATCGAGATATTTGTCAGGTATTTACTCCTTCATACATCTATGAAGGCAAACTTTTAAAACAGTATGTTATGGTTCATTATAGCCCTTTCAATTCTGCATTTTCTATGTATAAATTGAGTGCGATGACAAAACTATATCCATTTTATTATATTCAATGAGGGTTACATGTACGTGAAGGAAGTAGTCATCGATAGGGTTTGACTAATTACGCTACGAAGACATCAGTTTGAAAAGATGTGCTATATAATATTTTAAAGCCCGTTAATTACGCGTGTTGTCGCGTATAAGATTCTACTATTAGTAAAATCTTAAATTCTTAAAGAACGTCGAACTTGCAGAGAAAAATAAATAAATACGATCGAATCGGCTGTTTTTTGACCGACGTTTAGAAATGATTTAAAAATTTCAGCATATGATGGTCTATAAACCACTTTTAAAGCGCAGAAATATTAAAAACCAAATAACAAACGGTTTCTGATCAGTTCCAGTCGTTATCTTCTCAAAAATATATAGGGTCATTTTCTTGCAGAAATCGTCCGCTGTCCTTTATGGAAATCTACGCAAAATGTGTGAAATGTTGCAACTCTGACATCACTGTTTTATTTTTGAAATAAAAATTACAAAACAACATAAAGCATGCGAGATTGCTTTATTTTCAATACAGGTTGATGCATTTGTGAACTCTCTTGTTTTCAAACAGAAAGAGAATAACAATCATTGAGTAATAACAGTATAGTACATGAGAAAGATGTGAAGATAGAATAAATATTTTCTTTTATATTTTATAGCACATGTAATAATATTTATTTAAGAAATACAAACTTTCACCTTTATAGAACACAGGAGATGACGTGAGGAAGTATTAGTCATTGTTTTAAAGAGAAATACCCACCAGTATGGGTATTCGCCTGTTTTGCGAGTTGCTATAAATACAATGCTGTATACCATCATTTTACAAAAATCGTTATATTGTTTCAAAATAAATTATAAAACTCTATATTTCTCACTTTAATATTTCATTGTTAAAATAATTACAAAAAGATGACCAATAACGGTAAGATTCAGTGATAATCTTAAAAGTTTAACTTAATCATTCTTGATATGATGGAGTTTTTATCTCAAATTTTGTGTATTAGAAGATATTCTGGATATCGACAATTTGATTAACTCAATTGATATCGATAATTTAATTGGTATGTACACCTAAAAGAGATCTAACTCACATAATAACTTGTACTGACTTTTATTATTAAAGATAATATTTTTTCAGATGAGTCATCGGCAGTAACACAAATCGAAAATGAGCTAATTCAAAGTTGCCGCAAGTTCATAGGTACTATAGTTGTAGATAATATAGTAATAAGTTTAGTCCGCATTTTGTAATGTCAGTCGAGTGATTTCTTATTTTAGGTAATTCGTTTCAATATGCTGAAGGATATCTAATTAACAATAGAGAAAATCTATCATCATCTGAAGGTGATAATCCGTTGGCAAATGGATTATTAACTAGTCACAATATATTAGAAGAAAAGGATAATGAGGATACTAGTCCCCCTACTAAAACAGGTAAGTGACTACTTCGTACGAATTAAAGTAAACTTTAGTCTTATTGATAGATCCCATAGATACTCAACGTCATATAAAATATAGAGTGCAAAATATATGTAGGCCTCAGATATTGAATTATCGGCAGTAGCCCAAATCGAAAATGATATAATTCAAAGTTGCCGCGAGTTCATAGGTACTACATAGGCATGCACCGGGACGGGAATTGCGAACTTGGAAGTCCCGGAAGTCGCGAACTTCAAAAGTTTGCCACTCTGTAGTAGAATTATCCTTTTTAAAGACATTAGGTGTCGTTAGAAATTAGATATGTAGTAGACCTTAAAAAATGTCTTGTGTTAACTTATTTTTTTTTTAACGTAAAGAACGACCCACTTTTTCATGAAACGTAATCAGTTGCGGTTACTAGCGAAGTTGTTATTACTTATAGGTTTTACGCCTGATAGTTTTTTAAAACTTTCAGTACTGAAACTCAAGAGCAAAATTTTATCATCAACCGGAATATGGGGATTTCCGAGTTCGAGATTTCTAAAACAGAAATTTCTGGATGTCCCTGTCCCGGTGCATGCCTAGTAATATAGTAATGCGTTTAGTCCGAATTTTGTAATGTGAGTCGAGTGATTTCTTATTTTAGGTAATTCGTTTCAATATGCTGAAGGATATCTAATTAATAATACAGGAAGTCTGTCATCATCTGAAGGTGATAATCCGTTGGCAAATGGATTATTAACTAGTCACAATATATTAGAAGAAAAGGATAATGAGGATACTAGAATTAGTCACCCTACTAAAACAGGTAAGTGACTACTTCGTACGAATTAAAGTAAACTTTAGTCTTATTGATAGATCCCATAGATACTCAACTACAAATAATAAATGGAGTTAGAAAAATATATAGACCTCTAATGAAAAGTGACATTTTTCCTCAAAGCGGAAAATATATAAACAAACCACGTGCACCACATTATATTCAGGATAAATATGGTGCCGGTTACATTACTTTAAAGGCAAGTATACCATCGGCACAATTATTTACTTCTTGAAAATTTTCTGTATTTTTATTTCGATCTATATTTAGATACCAGAAATGTATCGGCCAAGAAATACAAAAATTTTTTTTGTGCAAGTAACTTTGTTGACCGTACCTCTAAATGGTCAATTCTACATAAGTCCAAATAAATTGCAAATTGATCATAAACATGACGATATTGAGGATCGCAATCCAATTTATTATATAGTTGGAGAAGATGGTGAAATAAAGTAAGAAAATGCTTTTATTTGATTTCATATTGCTTGGAAACTATAGAACATTGTTTAGAATAGTATGTCGAGTACAATATTTTGCAGCTAAGGTAGCTTATGATGATCAGACTAACGAAGATATATTTTGATTTTTATTGAGAACGTTTCTCATTATTCTAGATTAAAATTGGTTGTGATTCGAACTAAAAAATGTGATTTAAGAACAAAAAATGTTCAGCCTTTGAAACAATTTCAAAGACAGTTGAACATGGAAACTGCTTTAAATCCAACACGTAAGAAATAGTATGTTCAGTAGTATACCGTCAGCATCGTCATTCTCTATTTCTTCCAGTACCTAAGATGGGCGCCGATTTATTGTTACAAACGTATCACTTAGAAAAAGCTCAATTAGCATTTCGAATATGCAGCTATCACGGTAATGAACGATTAATCCGCGCAGGTCCAAAAGATGCTCCATTAATCAATGATATCGATGAAAATGATATTGAAATATTATATGAATCAACAGTCATATCAGATGTTATGGAAGAAGATAAACGTAAGACAAAGTTTTATTCAACAGAAACAGAAAATGTCTATTCTTCTTTATAATTACAGGTCGTCAAAGAAAAGTAACACGAAAGAGTGCGTATGAACGCGACAAAATTTGAAAATTATAAAACAAAACTCATTTCTATTTTAGGCCAAGATGTTATAGAAATTCTACATCCACTAGCAAATGAACCACAAAAGCGGAAAGACATCGGTCTCCCGATTACATACGTTAAAAAACAACGTCAAGAAGAAATATCAAATTAAATTCATTGAAAGTTCTTATTGAAATTTATTTATTCCAGAAAAACAGTCACTAACTCTTGTTCCATGAATTCGATGCCATTGAGCTTTCATTCTAATTTTCTAGGCCGTCTTTTTGTGCAGATTATCAACTCAACATCTCTAACGTTAGAATCTGGTGTTTGCTCAACTTTGTAATACATTGAATTAGGATCCTCAACATTATCATGTTTACTACAAGTTTGAAATTTTGTTACATGGATTTTGATGAAATTATTCATCAAGAAATATGGACAACAAAATTACTCGTAGTAAAACACTGTAATTGTTTATGTATTGAGCTCTTGACTTTTTGTATTAAATTGGAAAAGGTTTTTGCTAACAGTATTTTTTAATCAGAGCAAACATAGGCTCGTGTTTCCATCTTTTTTTAACACTATTTATTTTTCTTTTATTTATGCAAGAGATTTTTTTCAGTTTTTTATAAAATAAATTTGACGAGTGTCAATACCAACAAAATGGATATCTGATCCAATAGAAAACCGAATTATTGGAGACTTAATGTGTCCTATATAACAAAGGATAATCAATTGAGAATTCGAAACTGTACATTCTACAAATTCGGAGAGATATTCATCGACAAACTGATTACTGTTTCATTTTGTGTCCCTTATTTATCAAGCAGTCTCTTCTCTCTTTTTTTAGCATAATATTCCTCCCGGTGAGTAAAAGAAATGAAGACTCGGACCTGCTTTTCTCCTGATCAGTGAACGTTACTTAATTTAATTTGCAAGCTCGAGTGAAAATAATTGTTTTGATTAAAGACTGGATGGATTCACCACTGAAATGTACATACTCAAACCGAATGTTCGTTATTTTGAAGAGTTAAGAAAAAGGTGTGCAACGGTGTCTACTTTATATCTGTGCAGGAAAACGTCATAGAGATCTTGACAAGTTTTCTTTTGGAAGTAAATTTTCTCCTCTACAACCATACTGAGTGAAAAAGGTTTCTACAAAATCTTCCTTTTCTAGAGGGTTTTCGAGAAACCAGGTTTCGAATCTCAATCATTCGAGGGAATTTAACAGACTTTTCTTGCTATTTTCATATTCAGTGCACAAAACTAGACGGAACAGCTAAAATTTCAAAGCTCCAGCACGTTGATGCTAACAGGGAGAAAGAAGTCTCCTGCAAGTAGCGAGATAACCTCAAAGGTTTTACGGAAGTGGAACCAAATATTTTGGCCATATACAGTTTACCTTATTCAGACGATAAGAAAAAATTTAGCACTTGTTATTACTTCGTTTAGTAGAAAATGAACTCTTATTAATTGTTAACCTTTTTCCTCGTCTACAGCATTCCCACTTGCAACGCATGACATTGCTCTACTCGAAAACGACGCAACTAGAGCCCAAGAACAAGTGGATGCGTTAAGAATTAATGCTAGAAAAGTTGGCTTAGAAATTAGCGTTGATAAGACCGAACAAATGTGCCTCAACCTAGCCAATAATACAGCCACATCACCCGCAAACCTCACCATCAATGGCCAAAACATTGCCATCGTTGTGGAATTCAAATACCTGGGTTCTTTCATGGAACCCCCTGAAAAAGACGTCAAAGCGAGAACCGCACTTGCATGGCTCGCATTTAGGAAGCTCAAGTCAATACTGAAATCATCCAGACCAACAGTGAACTTCAAATCCGACTTTTCAATGCCGCATGTATGTCCATCATACTATACAGCTGAGAAACTTGGGTTTTACCCTCAGATTAGACAAAAAAACTGGTCATATTCGCAAGAACCTGCGATCGAATCATGCTGGATATCAAACAATCAAAAGCCCACATGACCAATGAGGTTCTTTACCAGAAGGTGAACGAACAGTCGATCTCAACAACCGTTCGAACGCATCAACTAAAATTCACCGGACACTGCCTTCGTATGAACACCGCCGAACCGGCAAATATCTATATCCTTTATGAGTCGAACGACACAACCATAAAGACGTCAAGACAACAACGCACGACATACACACATCAAATATCACGTCATCTGTTGCCAGACAAAAAGGTCGAACTTACTGCCAACGAAATAGCCACCTATGCGAAAGATAAAAGAGCTTGGGATAATCTTATTGCCGCGCCTCAAAAGCACGACTAATGATAATGATGATGAAATTTAAAAAACTTATCTAAATTGAATTTATTTTTCTGCTTTATTCGACTACAACACCTGTCTCAACATCAATGATAATATCATCGTTTAAAACATATAGTTGGCTGACAATGTTAAACACAACATCATCTACTATTGTCTGTCACCAAGATACATATTTATATAATTATTATTTTTATACAATACCGTATGCATTTGATAATAATCGTGATTTTTTATCTTATGATATTATTAATTACTACTGTACAAAAAATAATAATGAATCGCCTCAACGATTTGAAACTGTTCAATCGCTCACACTTAATGGTTTCCGTTTAAACACTACATTATCGTATACTAAACTTCGATTAAAACAAATGAAAAATATTTATATCTTAAATGTTTAAATATATATGAAAAATTTCAGTTGACACTTGATGATGATAAGACGATTCCAATATTTAAACATTGTAGTATCATTCATTTTTATTATATAAAATTTTTTACAGAAAAAAATTTTGATGATATTGAACGTTTATTTTCAATGAAACCTAATGTTTAAATAATTAATATTAATAATTTTTGTCTATGTAATATATTTTCAAGTAAAAATATTGATAAAATAACTCATATGAGTCTACATCAACAATATTTTAACCATATTTTTGAATCAAATATCATTGAAATAGATTAAAATAATAATGATAATTTATCAATTTTTCTTCAATATTTTTCTAATATCAAAATATTAAGATTATCATTTATAGATAAGTTAAAATTTGATATTATTATTTATGATTGTATAGTGCCAATTGTACGATCATTGAGTTTAACATTACAATGTTTAAAATGTCGTTTTTGGAATGATGATATAATTCGTGAAAATGGTAAAATTTATCTAAAACGAATGTTAGATTACATTAACTTGTGAAAATGGTTGTATTGAATTTTGGATGTAAAACACATTATTATATATGGTAAGGTGCCGGCAATTCGAACTTCAAGTAAAAACAATTTTCCGTCTTATTCACACATGGTTTGATGGAGCGTGAGCTGTTGATCATGTTGATCAACTAACTCTTGGCGTTAATGGATACTGTTATCAGGTCAAAAAAATCAAAACTTGGAAGATGTCATTTTTTCTAAAAAACACATCTTTTTCCAAATGTGCAAAATCGTTTGTTTTCCTCTTCTTGCCAGTTTCTAAGAATATTTTTTTTCAGATTCAGCGTTACAAGCTGACTATAGACAAGAGAGAGAGAAAGAGTCTTTTGATGGTGGCGCCTCGAACTGCGCCCATTGCGAGGCACATACGCCGTTTTTGAAAACCTATCTGAAAAGTCATATATTTTATCTCATTCGATACCACCAGTCACAAAAGTACGCGTCTCTTTCTTTTTTCTTTTCGCTCTGTGCTGAGAAATTCATTTTTTCTAAATCAGAAGCGGAAATGTCGAAATTCTACCCATAATTCTCAATTTTCTCAATCAGAACTCAACTTTTGAGCAATAAAAATACCGCATTCAGAATCAGAATCAAAAACTGAGTCGACTAATGTGTATTTCAATCCTATCCAACTACATTAATTTTTTTCGAATTTTCACGTTGAAAAATTACGGACATCGTTCAAAACTAAAAATCAACTAAAAAATTTGAAATATACATCATGGAGACCTAATTACGCAAGTGTGCTTGGAACCTATTTTATGCAGTTAGTCTATCGAGAAAACGTTAGTTTGAAGCATTGGAAATTAAGAGCTATTGTCAAAGAGACTCTGGAGTCTTAGGCAGATAGTGATCGTTGAAAAAATAGATCAAATTGATATTTTTACAAACGATAGGACAGACATAGACCTGTTTATGTTAACTCCGTCAGGAAATATTACTACCACCTGAAAAGTAGCCAGCTTTTTTCTAAGACGCCTAGGTAACTAACACAAGTTCGTTTTTCTAACACACATAGCCATAAAAATAATCCCTTAGGTACGAAAAGATTCAGCTTTTCAAACTCTGTACAGTAAGTAGAAGCATAAAACAAGTGCTTGATATAAAAGACACTGCTTTTTCGTCTCGTTTAAAATGAGAAGAAAAAGCTCTGTATCATCATGATCTAACGGCCAAGGGAGGCTGTTGCTAGACCTTAGACGTTTTTGATCGGCAGCACCACTTTGCATTAAATACATTGCAAAAGAATCGCAATCAATAATTATCCATTCAAAACAAATTTGAGGTGGAAACATTCTAAATGCGCTTAGACTACAGTAGT